TCGATGGTTAATTCGAGAACGCTCCGAGCAGGCAGAGCATGATCGTGTGGTGAATTTGTCTTTCCAGCTTCCTGCTCGATCCAGCCAATAGGGCCTCTGCTGTGATAGTCGCAAAACCTGCACTTCTCACCTGCATTAGCGGCTTTATTCAACAAGTGTGTGCAGGTGAAGTAGGAAACAAGTTATAGACGGAACTCATGTCACGCTCCTCGGTGGACAATTCATCTGGGAATCTTTGGCAGAGCTTCAACCATTTTACGAAGGAGCGAGAACCTCTATGAACTGTGCATCTGAACATCAGGGTGTGGTTGGCCACAAGCAGGTTATCCCGTGTGGATTGGCTTCACGAGAGAGCACAGCCTGTCCAAATCCGACACCGATGACCTTCTGAACGAGGGTTTTTCTCCGGCTGTAGTCTCCTGAGCAAGAAGATCCATCCATTCTGATACCTCATGGCTGGCAATGACAAGGAGATGTATCGCAAAGCAGATGTTACTTCCGGCTTCAATCGGTTTGTGGCTCAGTAGAAGTTCTTGAGTCAGAGCGTGAAAAACATGGCTCTTTTCTTTTCTCACTTTGAACTCGAAGAAGGCGACTAGGGTGGGCATGATTCGGTTATAAGTTACTGCACGTTGTGCCTCTCATTGTCTACACTGCCTACGTGAACATTGTTACAATTTGCTGAAGGAGCTTGCGGCATGAGATCCAAAAAATACGTACGAGCTTTTGAGACAGCCTAACCCATAACGGACGGCCAGTGTATTTTTCGCGTGCCACCCAGGGTAGGGTTTATGTAGGCTTATGCGAACAGCAGGGTTAAGACGGGGCTAAAGTAGGTGTCCGTGTCTCATCATCCAAAAGAAGAGATTTCCGTTGACGACAAGTTCGTAACCCGCCTTTCCGCTCTAAAACTAGGGTGCAAAGAATGAATGGAAGCTGTAGGTGACATTATCGAAAAAAATGCGAAACAACAACCCCGAGCAAGGATGTGGCTATATTTAGGGGAAGGGGTCTCGGGACGTGCGAACCATGGGTAAGCCACCCATCAAATAGTAAACTTATGTAAATTAAGACAAAATGTATGTAAAATTTATTGTAGGTTTGTCAAAAATCCAGCCGTCCAGGTCCTGGGAAGATATGTTATTCCACATTGCTGAGAGTATATATGGGTATAATTAAGATTGCTAGAAATAATCGCGCACTATTATGTGGCGCACGCCGATCTCCCCGCTCGTTATGGGTTCAACCGATATTATGAAGGAAGGGTCCGCACAATCCATTAAATTCTGGCGGATCTCATAAATTCGCGCACATTAGGGTAACAGACTTGAGGCCTAGCAGCTAATCAAAGTAGGTGGTCTCAGGTGATCTAAATCCCTGATCATCGAGCCGCCGGGCGGTCGGCCCATTATTTCAAAAAACAACGGAGCAACGTTCATTTTCATTAGCCCCACACCATTCAGGCTTTCACCATGTGTTCTGACTCTGGCACTTTCTGAAGGAATAGCTGGGTCTTTTTTTGCGATAAGGGTAAAAATTAAAAAAAACAAATATAAAAAGAGGTGTCAGAAAGACAATGAAACTATCACTGGGAACAATTCGAACTTACAAAGCAGAAAAAAAGAAAACAACAGAACAGATACATAATAAACACATCGTCCGAGCGCGAACGAAAAAAACAGTCAAAAAAAACAAAAGAAAAATACAAACAACAAAAGAAAAACAACAACAAACAAACAGAAACAAAGTAAACGAAATCGGCATTATGCTGCGCATAGCCAAATAAAAAATTGGTAGAATCGCAAAGCAGAAAGAAATCAGATCAAAAATTATCATACATTTACTTTCATACAGTGAAAGCATCGTTGGCAAATACAGCGTGCGATAGAGTGTCACGAAGGCTGACCGACCAGAGGGCTACTAACTGCGGACAGATGATCAAACTAGTGACAGAGAAGACAAGAATACTCAGAAGCAGTGCCTGGTTCACAGAACCATATTATGAAGAGCCAAGTTACCCGCCAAACAGGCGAAGCAACGATTTCGACAGAAACGAGCGTGATGGCGGCAGAGAAAATTGGGGTTTTGCGGAATCGCAAACAAAATGATGACAGACGTTTTTCTCCGAATGACAACCGCGGTAGTGGATATGGTGGCCGCGGCAGAGGAGGTAGTAATGCCTCAGGTGGATATAGTCAGGAATATCGTCGTCGTGATGGTTTTGGATCATCTAAAGGCAATTTTGACCAAGACGATGAAGATGGAGAACCTTTTGGTGGTTTTGGAGGTTACAGGAGAGATGGTCAAAAAAGCACTGGATTTGGTGACAGAGGGAGACCTCAACCACGTGCTTTCGACGATCGCAGTGATGATTTTGATAACCGTGGCAGGGACCGTGATAGAGGAAATGACCGAGGACGTTCTTTTGGAAACAGGAAGAGCGGCTTCGATCGTGAAGACCAAGACGAGGACAGTGGTCGTTTCAAGCAACCGTTTTCAAAGAGAATGATGACAATTTCGGTGGTAATCGACGAGGTTCTCCTAATCGCAGAGGTTTCGGAGATAGGAACGACTCCGGCTCTTTTTCTGGAAGAGGTTAGCGCCTTCACTTTTTTGCCCTAATCGGCCTTGATTCCAAGCTTTTTTCCAATTCTTGAAGCAAAATACGATTTCTTGGTTCCAAATATACTAAAGAACAAAACGAGCAGCGGTGGTCGATCATTAAGAGTAGTGAGACGTATGCGACCCCACTTACAAGGAAAGGCTCCCAGGTCGCCATGGCCATTCAAGAAGAGATGTATACCACTAGATGTGCCTTTGAACGCTGATCTCAAATCTACCTTCCAAATCTGCTAAACGATTCTCTGAATGGAGTTATGAAGCAAAACAGCGCAACGGCAGTGGTCGGGATTTGCAGTCAAAACGTCGTAGGATCGGCCCCTGATCGCGTTTACTGTCTTGCGTTCTTCAGGAATTAGGCTAAATAGGCTATTAAAAGCCTTTTAGCTGTACTGCTGAAGAAGGCAAAACAGTAGACGCGATCAGGGGCCGATCCTACGACGTTTTGACTGCAAATCCCGACCACTGCCGTTGCGCTGTTTTGCTTCATAACTCCATTCAGAGAATCGTTTAGCAGATTTGGAAGGTAGATTTGAGATCAGCGTTCAAAGGCACATCTAGTGGTATACATCTCTTCTTGATGG